TAAGGATGTTGAACACTTTCTTATGGGTCTTTCAGCCATTTTAGATTCCTCTATTGAGAATTGTCTATTTAGTTCTGTACCCCATTTTTTCCATTTTTATTATTTTTTATTTTATTAGTCCAAATTAGGAACAAGCTTGCTTCAGATGTCATTCCCTTCTCCCTCTCCCTTCCTTCCTCCCCAACATCCCACCTGCCCCTAGCCATCCCCCCTCCACTCCCCAGGGAGGGTAAGGCCCTCAACAGGGGCTCCCCCCAGACTCACACACCAACCTCCCATGTGTCCAAGTCAAGAGAGCATCCCTTCCCATGGGATGGGCTCTCAAAATCCCTTCTTTTTTTTGAGACCTTACATATTTAATACAGTGCATTACCCCTGTACAAATGGAAAACACTGTAAACTGGGATACTTTTTTCCAAAGTTGACAGCACAGCTAAAGTTTCCAAAAAAATTCAAATTATATATGTATATATATATATAGAGAGAGAGAGAGAGAGAGAGACCAATAATGGCAGTATGATATGCATCAATAGCAGCAACAGTTTTTCCAGGTTCTGCAGTCATTTGAACAAAATTGTAGAGACATCCAGAATTCCCCATTAAAAAAAAAAAAAGTAAAAAACGAAATCCCGGAAAAACAGCACAGTTCTGTTACCCTTGTGGTACCTGGCATCATTTGTTTTTTAAATTAGCATCTCAATCATCATCTGGAAGGAAACCATTCTGAGCAAAATCATTAAAAATCATTAAAAACAGCTCTGATAAAGCACGGTCACTACTATATATCATAAAGCAGATCCATATATGAGTGAGTACATATCATGTTTGTCTTTTTGTGACTGGCTGTGCCCCATTTTTAAAATTGGATTGTTTGGTGTTTTCGAGAATAGCTTCTTGAGTTCTTTGTATAATTTGGAGATCAGTCCCCTGTCAGATGTGGGATTGGTGAATATCTTCCCAGTCTGTGGGCTGTCATTTTGTCTTGTTGACTATGTCCTTTGCCTTACAGAAACTTCTCAGTTTCAGGAGGTCCCATTTATTAATTGTTGATCTCAGTGTCTGTGATACTGGTGTTATGTTCAGGAAGTGGTCTCCTGTACCAATTAATTCAAGGGTATTTTCCACTTTATCTTCTGGTAGGTTCAGTGTGGCTGGGTTTATGTTGAGGTATTTGATCCATTTTGACTTAAGTTTTGTGCAGGGTGAAAGGCTTGCATCCATCTGTAGTCTTCTACATGTTT